AAAGACTTTACCTCATCACTCAAACTTAACTCTATTAAAACCAACCCTCCAAAACTTAACTGTTCCTCCAATGTTAATTACTAATATTAAGGGTGAAAAGTAAACGCTCTGTTGGCTTCTCTAGATAATTTGCTTGTCATTACAATTTCTCATAGTAATTTTTAGTTAGTTTTTTTAAAAAAAAAAAAAAAAAGATGCCACCACCTTCAAGCTTGAGAGATGCTGGAGTAAGAATCACTAATCTTTTTTCTCCTTTAAAACAAATATGACTTTTCAAAAGATCAATTTGAAAATTGCAACCCTGCTCTGACACTCTGATGAACATTTTAAGGAGATACATTTAACAGTAGCCCAGACAGAGACAGAGTGCTACAGATGGTTCTAGAAATTTACCACTGGCACCAAAGGAAGGCTTGCAATCAGGAGAGGAAAAATGCAACCTCTTCTAGTCTTTGATCTTTCCTCTTCTTGTGCTCTTTGTGAACACTGAGCAATTTCAAAACTACACAATTCGAATGTGCCACACTGTAAATATGAAGAAACATTCTGAGCCTGTGGATGCTCCCTTTCATTGCTGTATGACTATGTACTTAAAAACCCATTGTTTCACTCTGAAAATGTATCATTTTCATTTCTGTAATAATTGTATCTTCTAAAAGAAAAAAAAGAGAGAGAGACTCAATGAAGCCTGGAGCTTTGTTACAGAAAACACAGCAACTCCAAACATCTACAATCTCCTATTTTCACTACTGAAAGCTGGCCTGGTTGTTCCAGATAACTAAAATAACACCTTTTCTTACTTTTGACAAAGGTTTTGCTTCCAAACTAAGGGTTAAAACCAGGCACACCAAATGTGTAGACCCTACACTCCCTCTGGTGGTCCTTCACTCTAAGGAATCAAATGTTTCCAGAACGACTAGAAGTAAATACTGATTAACGCATTTTTTGTCCGTGGTATTGTTTGTAGCAGGGCTTCCTGCAGTCCTATTACATATGGCCTGGAACTCCGTGTGAGGATCTGGCTGCTTCTGCATCCTGGATGCTGGGAGTAAAAAGGCATGTACCCTATAGCACAAGTCAAATTCTCTTACCAAACTATGACGGACAAATGATTCTGAAAAGTGGGATTTTAGTGCTCTAAATACTACTATAATATCCTTAATAATCTACTACATTCTCTAACAAATTCTTTCAGCCTGTCTCCCTTACAGAACTGGCTTTTATACAAAGTAATCATTATTCACAAGTAAGCGCACACATAGGCAGTCCTTGTTTTAAGACAACAGATACAGGACTTCCATATCATCCACCCAGTCTTCGACGCATGAGGTTTAATGTTGGAAACATTTGAGGCAGCACGTATGTCAGAACTTTATAATGCACCAAAGGGCTCAATGGTAGATCGTTTGTCTAGCACCCATAAGACCCTGGGCTGAATCCCAAGACAGCAAAGATAAAAAATAAAAATAAAAAAAATTAAAAAGCATTAAAATATACTGCAGAGAATCTCAGAAATATAAAATAATGGGAAAAAGTCTAGTTACTGGTTAAGCTGAAAAGCTCGAGCATGACAAAATGGAGATAATGGTTCAGTGTGCATTAATTATAGACTTAAGAGTGTCAAAATATGCACAACAGAATCTTCTTTGGAAATCATGGAAATGTTAAAGGCGTTTAGAGCATGTTCTTAATGTCTGTTATAGTATTTGCTTAAGAGTACAGCATCTGCCTAGTATGCACAAGGAGTGGGTTCAAGCCTAGGAGAGAAAAAAGGAGGGAAGGAGAGAGGTGAGGGAAGAAGGAGAAAAGAAACTTACCAGCAATAACCAGACTCAAAAGGAGCTACACTTGAAGGTAACTGCCTAATAAACAGCCTAATATTGTGTGTGTGTCTAGATGTGAGAAACAACTTGTGCACTAATTTTGAAAGTGAAATGTGGTTGATAATTCTGTGATCTGGTCTACCACAAATAAGACAAAGTAAACAAAAATCAGTAATTAAAATACCTGACAATGGGCATCAAAAAGCACTTTTCTAGTTCAAGCACACACCAGCCATGCCTTTGTGTAACTAGATGAAATAAGCCCTGAAGAGCTGGGGAGAAGGTCCCGGCTGCCCTTCCAGGGCACCCACACTTCAGCTCCTGACCTTCAGAGCCCTCTCCTGGCCTCTGATGCTGCCAGTGCCAAGCATGCAAATAGCATACTGACATACAGATAAAAGACCCATAAGCATAAACAAATTTAAAAAATTAATTAATGTGACTTATGGTATTTGGTACATGTAAGCAGCATCATAAGACACAGGATTATAAACCCTCCAACTTCGTAACACCAAAGGGGAATTAAATCATCTAAAACAAAGAAAGCCCCCTTTTTAAAGCAGCCCATTCTACATGGCGAAGAGCCACTTAATCTGCCTTCAGGAACCATCAGGAACTTTAGCCAGACTGAATCTCTCGGCACCACGGGGTACGCTAGCTCACTCTAAAACTGCAATGCCTTAGGAACTAACAACACAGAATGCACATTCTTTCCCAATCCAAGAACAAGGAAGAATTTCAAAATCAACTGACTTGCCTAATCCAAAACCGTAGGTTTTTCATGCTAAAGTGAGTTAAATTATGTCTTAGGCTGGTGTGGTTGCCTGAATGTAAAGTCCAGGACCACATCGTGAGAGAAACAACTCAGAGTCGTCCTCTGACAGCCACACCTGTGCCAACGTGGTCGCACCAACACTGACAACAGACAGATAAATAAACAAACACATAAATGAAAATTTAAAAGAGAATAAAAATAAATCCACTCCATGTCACATAACTGAAAAGTAAATATTGAGAAGCAAACTTTTAAAAAATGTTGGAATGACAAAAACCTCATTAATGTATAAACTTGCTGTTTTAAAAGAATTTAAAAGTAATATTCCTACATTAATTTAAAATAATCTCGAGTGGTCCCAACTAATAGCTAACTCAAACTAGCTAGATGAATACAATGGCCACTCAGTTAATTAGTGTGATCAGGTAAAGACTAACTACTGAGTTCAACTCCTCTAAGTACAGATCATACCCAATGCAGTTCCACACAGGACATACTAGAGTCAAAGGGAGAGAACTAAACCACGTGTTTCTAACAAATAATGAATGTTATTAACCTTTCCCATTTAAAAATAGCTAAAATATGCCATTTCTGTAGGATCTGCAAAGTGAAAGCTCTTAGAAGCCTGTTCGGCGCATACCGGACGGACGGCTGGGAGAGAAGCTACCAGAAAACAGTTAAGGGAAAGTACGATGGAGCAAGAATGTCCCACCAGGATAAGACAGTTTCAGTTATTTCTTGAATTGAATCAGACAACAAGAGAAGGAGCTACTACAATTCTATAGTAATAATAACAACAAACACTAACGGGAAAGAAGGGACAAAATTCTTAACCTAAATTCACCTTAACTTCTCCCTTGTCCTCTACCCTAAGAAAATAGAAAGACAATGAAAATAAACTCTCTCCTACCCCTAGGAAAGGCAAAGAAAGTGCCCATTCAACGCTCAACCTCAGTCCGCTGGAAAAAAAAAAAAATCCCCAAACCACCAGCTCCCAACTGCTGCCTGCAGAATTGACTGAAAGGCGGCCAAGCGCGGAACACACTGTCCCGAGCCCTGCACGCTCTGCTTACGACCTGTACCTTCCAAAGCTTTCGCCACCGCCGCAGAAGCCCATTATTCAAAACCCGAGGCACAGGCGCTGCAACCTGGCTCACCCACAGCGAACAGGATGATGAAGATCATAATGCAGTGTGCTCCCTTAGCTTCTTCATACGCGCGCGCGCGCGCACCAAAGGCTGGGTTCCGAGTCAAGGGCTAACGCCCAGACTGTGATGTCCCAGGGCTAAAGGGAATGGAATGGAGGCTCCTAAAACAACTTACATATTTAGAGAGAGTGAGTGTGAGCGTGTGTGTGTGTGCACGTGTAGGTCAGAGGACAACTCTCACGAGTCGGTTCCGGGGATCGAACTCCGGTCGTCAGATTTGGTGACAAGCGCCTGTCCCCGCTCAGCCACCTCGGAGGCCCCTAAAGCAACTTTTAATTGGCTTTCCCTCCAGCGTCCACTTCCGAGCCCGCGGGTCACCTGCCCGCCGGCAGCGAGCCGGCCAGGGAATGGCAGGTGAGGGCGGCGCCCGGGCGGCACGCCCATCGCACGGCCAGGCGGACACGGTGGGGCGCTCCGTTATCCGCGCGCGCGTGCGGGCTCGCGGGGCTCCGGAAGGCCAAGTTTCCTCCGCGCCCGGCGGCGGCGTGGCGTGGCGTGGCGACACGGGGCTCCTGGACCTGTGCACAGGCTGCGCGGGAAACAAAAGCCGCGCGCGGGCGGGCGAGCCGGCGCCGCGCAGAGCGATCGCTGACCGGAGGCGCGGCCGCTCCGCCTCCCACGCGTGGCCCCCGTCTGCCGCACGCCCCGTCCACGCCGCCCCGGGGAAAGCCGCGTGAGGGGATGGCGGAGGCGGGACCGCCAGCGCCGGGCCGATTCCCGGGTCCACCGCGCGCGCGCGCGTTCCATCCCCGCGGCCATGGCGCCCGTACCTGTCGCCGCCGCCGCCGCCGCGTCTCGGGCTCCGCGTCTCTCCGCGGCGCGCGCCGCCGCTCAGCCTCTCAGCCCGCCCAGCAGGCCGCCCGCCCGTCCGCTCGCTCGCTCGCCCGCCCGCACGCTCCAGTCGCTCAGCCGCGCGCCGGACACCGCCGCCGGAGACTGGCAGCGCCCGCGAGCCGGCTAGTGCGCCGGGCAGCGCCCGCCGTCGTCCCGCCCCCACCGGCCGCAGGACCCACCTCCCATAGGCCCGCGGGGCTGTCAATCCGCCCCCAAAAGGCGCGCGGGCTGTGGCTCCGCCTGTCCCCATTGGTGGCCGCGCACAGTCTATGCAAATGAGGCTCCGCCCCCTTCGGGTGCCTCCCCCGCCTCTCCGCCGCAGCCCACGTGTCTGGCCCTTGCCCTTTGTGGGGGCCGGAGAGGAGGGATGGAGGAAGCTGACTGACACCTCTTGGCGTCGTCCTTGGCCTCCAGACGCACTCCTGCTAAGCCTGCCCTGCCTGTCTGTCCACCCAGCCCGCCCTTCGCGAGGCCGGAGGGATCAGGCCATGCTGACCCCAGGAAGCAACCTCATGGACTCCAGGATGCTCCTTAGAGACTGGGAAGCCCCCAGGTTAGCACCTAGCTCCACGCTCTCCCTCTGGTCCTCTGTCCTGTTCAACACAGTCGCCCAGGTGAAGGGGACGGGAAGGAGCCCGAAGGGTGAGCTCCCCTGCCCCAACCACGTGGCCAACCCTGGGTGACTCCCGTGGACATGCAGGAGCTGTACCTGGGGACTTGAGCGCGAACTGTTCCTTTTTTCGATTTTTTTAAATGAATGTTGTAGTGTCTCATCTGAATGTATGACTGTGCACTGTGTGCGTGCAGTGCCCAGCAGAGGCCAGAAGAGGGCGTCTGGTCTCCTGGGACTGGAGTTGTGAGCTGCCATGTGGGTGCTGCGGGTGGCACCCAGATCCTCTGGGAGAGCAGCCACTGAGTGCTCTCTCTCTCTCTCTCTCTCTCTCTCTCTCTCTCTCTGGCTCGCTCGCTCGCTCGCTCGCTCGCTCGGAAGAGAAATCAAAAGTCTCAATTGCCTATGGAAATGTCTCGTAGACACGTGAAAATCCGTGGTTTCTGGCTCCGTGTCTGCTTTTATTTTAGTTATTTTTGTTTCTTCTGCGTTGTCATACTTAGAATTTTGGAAGACATTCTTTATGTCACCATGCTGGGTGATAGAATGGTCATTCCTTTCCTGTCTTCAGAAAAGACAAAACTGACCTAGGACCCTCCTCTTGGGCAGGGGTCCTGTCTTAGTCACTTGAGTTTTCCCAATAATTGGAAGCTTCCCCCGTTCCAGCCTCCAGGGAGGGCCACGGGCTGTTTACGTGAATTCGTCACCGTGATGTGGATAGCACCGCTCACTAACGCCAGCTGCTTCTGTGTCTGCTCTGCCCACAGAGAACAAGAAGTGTGCCCTGTGTGGAGGAGGGCGCATGGAGGTGAGAAGGCACCGTGCCAGCCCGCAGAGGCTCCGAGCTAGCAGACAGGGACATCCACACTTGAGTAATGTTCCAGGGCTCGTGGTGTGTGTCTACATAGAAGAGTGGGGTGCTCTCTCCAGGGAAGAGGCCGTGCCCCTGTGAGAGGCAGGGGAGGGGCTTCATTGAAGAGGCCTCATAGAACCCACGCTTCCTAGATGGGTAAGGAACGGACTCGGCACGAAGGTGGGACGGGACAGCCCGGAGTTAACAAAGCATGCAGCCTGGAACTGCTGAGGAGCTGAGTGAACAGCGAGGGGCAGTGTGGGCCAGTCTGCAGGGTTGTGTCGGCTTGTCACGTGTTCTGAGAGGCGCCTCTTCCAGGAGGAAGAAAAGCCCGGGAGGCTGCCAGGCTGTGTTGTAACACACCACAGCAAACAGGGGCTGTAGATACAGCTGCAGGCTTTTTTTTTTTTTTTTTCTAGGCCAGAGTCTGTGGGGAACAGTCAGTTCTTCTGCTCCGATGGCAGCCTGGCTGGCCCCACCCACTCCCCCAGAAAAACCACTCTGGTCACCAAACTCACCCTCCTCGGCATTTTCCCTAGGCATGGATGCCCTGGATGTGGCAGGAGAAGCCCTTTCCCGTCGCATGGAGCCTTCTTTGCAGGTCTTGTCACCGAGGCTGGCTTCATGGGTGTGTCATATTTCTTAGGGACACGCACTAAGAAAGTCCCGGTGCTCCGTTTAAAGTACTGCTGTGGTCATCTTGACATAGTCATTTTTCATCAAGGGGCCCTGTGTGTTCTTTTTGCACCGATTTCTGCAAATTGCACATCCGGTGCTATAGCCCTTTGTGCCTGTGATAGAATTCAAACCACATCTCGGTCTTAAAGCACTCGGTGTCCACAGGTTTGTTCCCACAGCGTGGGTAACTCGATGCTCGCTGTTGTCATGTGGCATCCATTTCTTTTCTCTTACTCATTGAGAGAGCTGCAGCGGAGGGCCAATGAGAAGGCTCAGCGGGTAAAGGGCCTTGTGGCTAAACCTGGAGACCTGAATTTGATCCCTGGGTTTCACATAATGGAAGAAGAAAAAGAACTCTTGCAAGTTGGCCTCTGACCTCTACAAACTCACCCGTGTGGCACACACATCACCTCCCCCACTTCACACACACACAAAGAAATAAACGTAATTGGGGGGGGGATACGCTGCAGATTGGAACCTTCTTCAGGTGGCCTGGATAGGAAGTGGGCAGAGGCCGTGTTCACACTTGGCTCGTCCAAAGCCCTTGTGCTCCCCACTACAGAGCCCCAGCCCAGTGTGAGAACCTTTTCCTGAGGCGGCTGTGCACACGGAGGAGAGCCTGCTTAGGAAGTCAGAAGACACAGTGAAGTGGGCCTCCACCATTGCATGGCTGTCCCTTCGAATGGTTTGTCACCCGTACTGGACAGATCTCAATCATAGTGTGTGTAGGTCTTGTCTCTCTCTTTGCTTCTGGGACTCCAGTCTAAGCCCGGGGCTGACCCCACTCCACCCCTTCTTCAGTGTTCTCTATCTCCTTTCTCTGTTTCAGCTCACAAATTCTCGTTCCAGTTTTATGGGACTTTTTGTTGGTGAAAACAAGAGTACAGTGGTCAGGACAGGCTAGACCAGAGCTTATAATTCTCACTTTTTAAAAGGTTTCTTAGCCTTAATTTCTATATGTGAGTGTTTTGCTTTCATGTATGTATGCCTGTGTACCACGTGCACGCTCAGTGCCCACAAAACGGCAGAAGAGGGCATGGGTTCCTCTAGAACTAAAATTATATCCAGTAGTGAGCCAGTGCCACATGGACGCTGGTCCTCTGTGACCCCTGAGCCATAGCTCCAGCACCGCTATGTAACTTGCTTTTTTTTAAAAGATTTTTTACTTTTTATTTATATGTGTGTGTCTAGACAGCACCTCACCTACAAAGCCACCTCTGCAGCCTCTGGGAGTTCCCTTTTATTAAGTGACACAGCTTGGGCGGCCTCAATCTAAGAGCCATTTTCCTTATATATTGCTTCCTAACAAACTAACCCAAAACTGAAAACCACTCCAGTGGACTTCTTCTTAAAGGACCAAAGAGAAATATTCTAAGCTTAGAAACCATATTCTTTGTCACACTGACTCAATTGCCATTACAGCCATTACTATATGTAAATGAATTGCATGGCTGTGTTTGTATAAAACTTTATTTATAAAATCAGGCCCCACCCTACACCCAAAGTCATCTATGGAAACCCATAACTAGCATCATAATAATGAAAAAGTGGGTGCTTGTGAATAAGCACAGGACAAGGATGTCCACTCTGGTCACTTTTAACTTTTATTTTGTGTTTGTTTTTTGAGACAAGTATTCATGAAAGCCAGGCTGGCCCCAAACTTGCTGTGTTGCTGAAGATGAACTTAAATTCCTGATCCTCTTGCCTCTGTCTCCCAGGGGCACGTCCTCATGCCTGGCTGGCCATGTGTGTGTGTGTTTAATGTTGTACTAAGTGTACTAGTCAGGACAGTTAAACAAGACATACATAAAGAAGGATATGGATTTAAAAAGTAAAAGAGTCTGGGCAGTGGTGGTGCACACCTTTAATCCCAGCACTCAGGAGGCAGAGGCAGGTGAATCTCTGTGAGTTTGAGGCTAGCCTGGTCTACAGAGCGAGTTCCAGGACAGCCAGAGCTGTTACAGAGAGAATCCCTGTCTCAACAAATGAAACAAATCCAAAAAAAAAAAAAAAAAAACCTAGGCTGGTGTCAGGACCTGCCAGGTTTGGTACTGCCTGGCTGGAGTGAAGGAGGTGAAAACCAAGGACACACAAGCAGAAAAGCTGGGATTGGGTGGGCCACGTGCTGGGATGGAGCTGCGACACGCCTAGAAACTCTTGTTTATTATACGCGGCTCTTGAGGAGGGGGCTGGTTTACTACATACATCTGAACAGGATGTGCGCCAGCTGATGTCAGAAGGGCTCTCTGCAGAGGAGCAGTCAGTGGGAAGAGAAGGCTACGCTTGACACTTTCCGCACAACTGTCAACATCTGGACTTCCACCAGGGGAAGACTGCCATTCCCGTGGGTCTGAGGCACTGGGGTGCTTTACGTGGATACGCTCACGGCATGAACACACATTCGCTCACCGCAGGCTGTGATGGTGGGGGTCACTTGGCAGAATGCCATCTGCCATGCACCAAGTCCTGAGTTTGATCTGCAACACTGAATAAACAGAATGTTGTGTCACCAGGCAGTGGTGGCGCACGCCTTTAATCCCAGCACTCGGGAGGCAGAGGCAGGCGGATCTCTGTGAGTTCGAGGCCAGCCTGGTCTACAAGAGCTAGTTCCAGGACAGGCTCCAAAGCCACAGAGAAACCCAGTCTCGAAAACAAACAAACAGACAAAAAAGGGATGTGGTGGCACTTATCTGTCATCCCAGCACTTGAGGAGTGGAGTCGGGGACCAGCACTTTGAGGTCATCGTTGGCTATGCAGTATGTTTAAAGCCAGTCTGAGCTAGAGACCCCGTGTCCAAAAGAATGAAGGAAAGGAGGAAGGGGGAGGGAAGGGAGAAGGAGCGAAAGATAGAATGGCTTTTCCCAGGTATATGATATTCTATGCATCAAAACTCAGAGCTAGCAAACTCAGCGAGGCTTTAGGCTACACACTCAGTAACAGCCAGTAGTTGTATCTCTGTGTGCCTGCACTGAATAATCCAAAATGAAATTCAGAATGTAAAAAACTCATTTATGGTGCATTAAAATAAATAAATTGTGTTTTGTTTTTGTAGTTCATTGAAGTCAAGGCCTGGTCCTCGCGGCTCTTCTCTAACACTTAGCCAAATCCCAGAACAGCATACTTCAGGTTGCCCTCAACAAAAGAAGTGTAAAACTCCCCACACCGTGAACATTTACTTCACTGAAAGAAACTGAAGACCTGAATCCTTGAGGAGGGGCTGGGGCGATGGTGGAGGTCCTGCCTCAAGTGCACAGAGGCCTGGGTTCAGTCCCCAGTGATACACACACACACACAGTACAAATAAAAAATATTCTTTGGATGTTACTAAGTGATTATTGGGATGGTTCACACATATGTAAAAATCCCTAAAGACCATTTAACTCTTTAGGAATTGGGCCTCCAATTAACAAAGCACCAATTCTAGCACCTCCAGCTTGGTTAAAGAAAGGCGGGTTCAAGGGAAAGAATAAGTGTGGCAAGGACTCAGACATCAGTCTCATAGTACAGTTCAACCTGTCCCTTCCTGACTCCGTGGGCCATTGTCCCAAGGCCCAGTATTCCAGTACCAGATTGAGCCTGAAGCCCAAAGCCTCCACATCTAAACCACGGCCCATGACCTCTCATGACCTTGGTCATCCTCTGCAGCCTTTCAGGCTGAAGAAACAAGTTGCTCAAGGCATCAGAGTCACCTCCACTGGGGGTGGCATAGTAACTAGCTAGGTTTCTTCTACTGTGACCCACGACCTAACAAGAAGCAACCTGAGCGAGGGAGGGAGGGTTTATCTTGCCCTGAGGCAGAGGAAGGTGGATCTCTGTGAGCTGGCTCCAACCTGGTCTACGAATTGAATATGAGGACACCCAGAGAAGGTGGAATCGTTTTTGATCTGTTGTCAGTGCCCTACCCGGGACAAGAAAGTCACACGACAACAGTGCACCTTGTTTCTGTAAATTATTGCAATCCCAATAGCAGTAGTGATGAGGTTACAGCTGCCATTCATTCTGGAAGCATGAGTGTACAGACATGGAGGAAAACTCCAAAAAAGAACCACGCAGTACCCACCAGAAGCTACGGCGTACTGCAGGGCCATCATCACTAACACAAGTTTGAATGGACATTTAAAAAAAAAACCCTCTATTGCCAGGCGATGGTGGCGCACGCCTTTAATCCCAGCACTCGGGAGGCAGAGGCAGGCGGATCTCTGTGAGTTCGAGACCAGCCTGGTCTACAAGAGCTAGTTCCAGGACAGGCTCCAAAGCCACAGAGAAACCCTGTCTCGAAAAACCAAAAAAAAAAAAAAAAACCTCTATTTTGATGCTGGAGAGATGGCTCAGAGGTTAGAAGCACTGGCTGTTCTTCCAGAGGACTCAGGTTTGGTTCCCAGCACCCACATGGCAGCTCCTAACTGTCCTTAACTACAATTCCAGAGGTTCCAATCCCCCTTCTGATGTCCTCGGATATTTCATGCTATGGCATACAAATGTACATGCAGGCAAAACGCTATACACATAAAATAAAAATAAATACATTGTTAAAATATATATCTAGATCTTGCAAGGTATGGTGACACACACCTTTAATACCAGCACTCCAGATATACGGGTAGGTGAGTTCCGGGCCTGCCAGGACTACACAGTGATACACTGTCTCAATAATAATAATAATAACTACAGTTCCTGCCTATCCACATTTCAGAGCAATGTCAAAACCAGATGTGCTTTAGTAGGTAATGTTGTGACAGCTGATTTGCTTTCTGGGGGGAGCGAGGTGAAGAAACCCAGATTCTTATCTTACTTCTGGGAACTGAACTCATGTCCTCTGCAAAAGCAGAACACTCTTTTAACTTCTGCACCATCTTTACAACCCAAAGAATTGATTTATTTTATTTGGCAGGGGCTGGGGGGGGGGGAATGACAGAGTTTCTCTATGTACCCCTGGCTGTCCTGGAACTCGCTGTAGACCAGGCTGGCCTCGAACTCACAGAGATCCGCCTGCCTCTGCCTCCCAAGTGCTGGGATTAAAGGCGTGTGCCACCACCCATTTTTATTTTGAATCATATGTACATGTGTATGGGTGTGTGTACCTGAGAACAGGTACCCATGAAAACCAGAAGTGTTGGATCCCCGGAACTGGGGTCACAGAGCTATCCAGTGTGAATGCTGGACTCTAAACTCGGGTCCTCACCCTACTTTATTTCTTACACACTCTCCACACACAAGGAAAAAAAAATCCAGACTACGGCTAGAGATGGCTCAGTTGAAAAAGGCTTGCCACAAAAACTCAAGGACCTGAATTCGATGCCCAGAGATCACACTTGAAAGAGCAAGGCATGGCAACATGCAATTATAATCTCAGTGCTGAGCCCACAGAGACAGGCAGATCTCTGGGGCTTACTGTCCCAGTCAGCCTAGCCCACTTAGTGAATTCCAGGCCAGTGAGAGACCCTGTCTCAAAAAAACAGGAGGGGAGTGTCTGAAGGGGAGGAATTCCCAACTAAAAGCACGCACACACACACAAGCACATATATACACACCTGACACACGCCCAAAAATCATCAAAAACATCAATAAGTCATTCATACACTTGAAAAGACATTTAAACTGACTCGTAAAAACAGAAATAAGGGCTGGAGAGATGGCTCAGTGGTTAAAAGCATTGCCTGCTCTTCCAAAGGTCCTGAGTTCAATTCCCAGCAACCACATGGTGGCTCACAACCATCTGTAATAAGGTCTGGTACCCTCTTCTGGCCTGCAGGCATACACACAGATAGACTATTGTATACATAACAAATAAATATTAAAAAAAAAAAACAGAAACAAACCTTACATCCTGCTCTTATCCAAAAGAGATAGCCCTTTCTACCTGAGGCTGGCAATGTCTGCATGGTCCAGATACGGGAAAGATATTATTGGTGAGCAGAAATTGTTGAAACTTCTTCAAAGAGCAATTTGGCAGTGAGCACTCAGTCTCTGACCTAGCACTTCCCCTTTTGGGAGTTCACCCAGCCAAAATAATCCCTCAATGCCAAAGAGGTGGTAGAAAACATATAGCTTATTGAAGCATTGCCCGTAGGAATACAAATGACAAGTAAAGATGTTACCCTCCACTGGGCGGTGGTGGCATAGGCCTTTAATCCCAGCACTCGGGAGACAGAGGCAGGTGGAGGATCTCTGTGAGTTCTATAGCCTGGTCTACAGAGCACGTTCCAGGACTGGCTCCATAGCTACTTAGAAACCCTGTCTCAGAAACCAATATGTATGTGTGTATGTTTGTGTGTGTGTGTGTATGTGTTTTTATGTGCATGGGTGGTTTGCCTACACGAACGTCCGTGCACCATATGCCTGATGCTGTGGATGCTGGAGGATGCTTAAATGCCCTGAAACTGCCCTTCTTTTTCTTTTTAATTAGGTAAATTTCCATGTAATATAGCAAAAATTCTATTCTTCCTCCGTTATTCATTTCCCTTCCTCTCTGATCTTGGAGTAGGTACTTGGCTACCTAGAAGAAGGGATACGTTTCCCAGCCTCCCTTGCACCGTCTTCTCCCTTTCCCAACCTCCCTTGTCCATCTTCTGCCTAATGAGAGAAAAAAAGAAGAACACGGAATTGTCTTTAAGGAGAGGAGCTCGCCAGGCCGTGGTGGTGCATACCTTTAATACTAGCACTCGGGAGGCAAAGACAAGCAAATCTCTGTGAGTTCGAGGCCAGCCTGGTCTGCAGAGCAAGTTCCAAGACAGGCTCCAAAGCTATAGAGAAACCCTATCTCAAAAAAAAAAAAAAAAAAAAAAAAAAAAAAAAAAAGCTCCCCCCCCCCTTAAATCTTCTTTCTGCCAGATAAATGCAGATGCAATGGCAGGAGCCCAGTACCGTGCTGGATCAATAGGTCAAATTCCCTGTTGAAGACAGAATGACAAAGACAGAAGGAATCCGGGTTTCTGATAACTGTAGAATCCTCTGGACTTCACTGGACAGAGAGAGGAAGGTTTATCCTACTGAGGTTATTTTACATTTTCTGCCACAGGCACCGCAGTTCCCACTCATCCGCCCCACCCCTACCCGTGGAGCATTTTCTTGATTAATCATTGGTGTGTGAGGGCTACATGGTGAGTTTCAAGACAGCAGGCAATACATGGAGAGACCATGATGTTTCTTTTACACAAAGAAAGAAAAGAAAAAGGAATTAAACTAAAACAATGTGTGTGTGCATCGAGCTACAGAGTCTTACTGTATAAAACAATGTGTGTGTACATCGAGATACAGGGTCTTACTGTATAAAACAATGTGTGTGTACATCGAGATACAGGGTCTTACTGGAGAAAACAATGTGTGTGTACATCGAGATACAGGGTCTTACTGGCCTGGAACTCAGATCCCATGATCCTTTCCCCTCAGCCTCCTGGGAGCTGGAATTGCAGGCATGCACCATCATATTGAGTTTTTGTTTTTTTAAGGTTTATTTTTTATTTTAAGCGTGTGCCTGCAGGTTTCTATGTGCCCACACGGATGCAGGACCTTTGGAGACCAGAAGAGGGTGTCAGATCCCCTGGAATTGGAGTTACAGGTGCCTGTGAGTCCCCATTTGGGTGCTGGAGCCAAACCCTGGTCCTCCAGAAGAGCAGCCAGTGCTCTTAGCTGCTGAGCCATGTCCCCAGCCCTGAGTTTTAAATGTTTTGTTTTCTGCTTTTAGACCAGGCTGACTTCGAACTCACAGAGATCCGCCTGCCTCTGTCTCCCGAGCGCAGGTATTGAAGGCGTGTGCCACCACTGCTCGGGTTAATTTTAACTTTGATGAGCCTATGATGACTTTCCCTTTCTTTCTTACTCTGTGTGCTTTTAGCAGTGTGAGATAGCAACACCCAATAGAAATAAATAGGCCATGTCTTGAGTATTTCTATTTTGATGCCGCGTCTGCCTTTCATGGGCAGGACCCTCGAGGTCAACACACTGCATGCGTGTGAGCACGTAGGTGTCAGTAGATGTTGAGATACTGAGTACTATTAGGCACTTGTCTGCAATTTTGAAAAAGGATGATTTTGTTACTGAAACTGATGTTCCCACAGGCCTGACAGAGCAGCTTGATAAGAATTAGTTCCAGCTGGGTGGTGGTGGCGGCAGTCCCAGCACTAAAGGGAGAGCCAGGTGGGTCTCTGTGAGTTCAAGGCCAGCCTGGTCTATAGAGCTAGCTCCAGAAAAGGCTCCAAAGCTACACAGAAAAGCCCTGTCTCGAAAAACCACACACACACACACACAAAAAAAAAAAAAAAAAAGAGTATAATTCCAGGCCTATCTGGGCTACGTAACAAGACCTTGACTTGACGCAAGAAACAAAAGCAAAACAAATCTGAATTCTAGGAACTCAGCTGGTGAGCTGGGAGGACTAGAGCATTGACAGAATGGCCTCAGGGAGGGGTGGGCAATGTGCCTCTCCGTGACAGATTGCTACACACCCATTTAGTTCATTCTGTGTGGCGCAGTAAACACTCAAGGCTAGCACCTTGTGCGTCGGCGTGTGTGCCTGGAGGTGTGGGCTAGAGGGCAGCCTCAGGCGTCGTTCCCTGTCACACACCAGCCACCGTGTTTTTGGAGGCAGGGTCTCTTACTGAGACCTGGCTCTCTATGTTAGGGGGCTGGTTGGCCCACCTCTCCAGCACTGCACTCACGTCCACCCGAGTGCTGGGAATCGAACTCAGGTCCTCACGCTTGACCTCAAGCACTGAACATACCATCTCCCCATCTCCCCAGCCCTGACTGGAGTACTTTGTACAGAAAAAAAAAAAAAAAAAGACTAGAAAAATTTGAAGGTCAGAGGGCCTGGTGAGCCCTGCCCCGGTCTACACCACCTGTGATGGAGGAATAGCAAGCCTGCTGGTTATGTGCACAAGGCCACACGGGTGACAGTGTTGGCCGAGCTTTAGAGCAGCCCGACCCTGAGGAAGCTGATGCCCTCCGTCACCTTCACCGTTCCCTCTGAGGCACAGCTAATTACCTCTCCTCTTAAAGACCCCAGGGCCTCACCCCTGACACACCAGGAGCCCAGCATCCAGTGCATGAGCCTTCAGGGTACACACTCGACCCTCAGTATTTCTGGAAGAACTAGCGATACCTTACCAGAGTAAAAAATAAAAAAAGAGCGACAGCACCTGAGAGAGGC